AACACTTCTGTGAATATTCAGCTGTTTTAGGAAGAAGCCAAACACTTGCTAAGTTGCTCTTTTGTTCCTTGTTTACAACTTCAGTCCTAACAATAAACCCAGGACCACATCCATGAAAAGAAAGGGAGGTGGATTTGGGCAGCTTTAGTAATCACGGCCCCGATCTTGTTCACCCAATTATTTATTTCTTGACTTGCTTTCTAGTAACTGTCTCAGTTTCCTGCTGCCAACGACGTGTTCAAAGTACTATAAGAGCAAGGTCGTTGTTTGGAGGGGCTCCTTGCAGGCAAAGATGGCGAGACTTCCCATCCCATACTCTGGACACATTGTGAGGAGGAGAGATCCTTGGAAAAGGATGTCTCATCCAGGGAAAAGTGAAGGGTCAGTGAGGCGGAGGAACACCCTCAGGGACCCGGTGGTTGCAGCAGTGTGTTTAAAAACAGTGAGGGTTGTGAACGAGGTTGTGAGCGAGGGTGATATTGTGTATGGTTTTCTTCCATTTAAGGTGGCTGCTTTAAATGGGGCCGATCCCACTACCGAACAACAACATTGTGTACTCAGTGTTTTTGGTTTTCAACGTGTTAACTGGGATGGTATTTACAGAGAGCAAAATCAGACAAAAATTCATGAAAACTGCCCATGAGCTATGCAGTGTTCCCTTTTGGCACTGTTTCAGATATTAAAAAAAAAAGATGTAAGTATTTATTTATGTATTTTTCTATCTTTACCCCAAGTGGACTTCACATTACATTCTTCAAGTTACACATTCATCCATTGAATTATTACACTTTAACAAATACTAATATCTGAATTTGAGAAATGACGAGTATCAATTTTTTTTGTTATTGTTGCAAAAAGCTTTATTGTTTCAAAGTATCAATCTTTTAAGGTATGTTGTTAGGAGGTAAAATAGAAGAGTCTACTCATCTTTGTCCTATGGAGCAGCTGGTAGATTTGAACCATGTGCCTTCAGGATTGCAGCACAGCTACCCATCACTAGGCCACCTGAACTCGCTTTTAACTTCTAGAAAGACTAATAAATTCATTCTGTACGAAGACACTTACTGTTATGACTTTTATATGTAAAAAGAAAAATTTCATTTGACTAAAAAATGTAATCATTTCTATGAAGATAATGAAGATTTGTATAAAAGGAATATATTTTAGTTATTATTGGCATGACAAGAGTCCAGAATAAGAGATGCATAGTATAGTGGCAGTTGGTGGTGGGGACGGTGTAACAATGAAAGAACTTTTTTTCCAAAGAAAAAAGTGAACTGGTTGGGGAGGGGCGACAGGGAGGAAAATGTGAATCAATGAACGAATTGAAATCTGAGTTCTTTATAAACTTTCATTAAAATAAAAAAAAACCAGCATATTGTAATCTGCCTTGTTGTTGCTGTTAAGTGCCTTTGAGTTGTAGGCGACTCGTAGTGACCTTATGAATGAAGGTCCTTGACACTTGCACCGTGTGGCTTTCATCCTTGCTCCAGGTTCATAGCGTTTCCAGAGGCAAGCTATTTATAGAAGTGGATGCCACTCCTGCTTCCAAGCTTGTTTTAATCTGGGAGCTCCACCCAACACTGTCGACGGTGGGTGACCATTATCATCTTTGACACGTCAGTATCACAATGTTCAGCTTCACAGCGACCACCAGTTACCTCTGTATGGCAAGTGGAAACACCAGGGCTCTGTGACCTACACGAATGTTTCACCAAAAACAAAGACAGGCCTTAGGGCTGCGGATTAGAGTCACCCACCTTTGGCTTGATAGTATCACTTTGGGACCCTAGACCGAAATCTGCCTTAGAGAAGAAATCATTTGGAGGCTTTAAATTTATAATATATTCAAATCATTTTCTTGATGTTGAGTGTCTCCAGATTGTTACAAGTGGAATAGTTCATGTTTTAACCAGGTTGTAAAAGCAGATACACTTGTCTCAGAGTCTTTTTAAGAAGAGGCTTTGATTTTGTGCACCAAGGCTTATGCTTAGACTTGGAGGCAAGCATGTGCTTTTAGGAGAAGTCAGGGGATTATTTTACTTGGTGTCATTAAAGGTCTCCTCGTCACAGCTCAACCCCCTGTGCATGGCGGCTGCCTTAGGGAGAGCCCCTTGGAGCGTCACCTGGGGGGAAGGAAGGGGTGCAGGGGTTAAGAGCCACAGATGCTGACCTAGATTCAGGCACAGCAGAAGCCTTGCCCTGGCCTAGAACTTGGAAGGCGCCTTAGAACTGTACCAGCTTTTCAATATCCACCTACTTTCAGGCAAAAGGAAAATCCTTAGGGAGTGGAATTCATCAGTCACACTGTGTAACCACCCAGCTCCCCACTGGGAAGGGACCGTCACTGAGTGAGGCAGGGCCCTGTGGCTCAGGACTGGTGGTCTATTAGGGACTAAGGTGAGAGCCATCTCCCACCAGAACACTTAGAAACTGTCTAGTTCTGGAGGAGTTTGGTAAGTAAAGCACTGGACAACTTGAATTTTGTCCTTGTTTGGTTGACTCTGGCTCTCAGTGGCTCTGCACACAAGTGATTAAAACCCTGCTCTATCCTTGGCACACTCAAGGTTTTCATTAAGCTTAACCAGTCGCTGGGCCAATGCACCGTGTTGGGGGTCGTCTTCTCAGTCACTGACTCCAGCATCTGCTACACCTGTGTTTATCTGGCAAATGGCCCAGTGATAGAGTCGTAGATCCTCTGATTTCCATTGTTACTTTGACAAATACGTATCCTGGAAGAACAGGAAATGGGGAAGAATGTTCCACGAACTTTACCTGGCTTGCATATCAACTTGGGTACATTGTCTGTGCCTCTCTGGTGCTGGATTTTTTTAAAAAGAACCTTCCCTTAAACGTATGTTGAGTTCTTAAACTGAAAATAATGTGGTATGTCTGTCTATGAACTGCATTCTTTTGGTGCAGCATAAAACAGCTGAAGAGTTTATCAACTTGTATTTCCTTCTATGTAAGTTTATTTCCTATTTTACCTAATTTTGGGAGTAAATGAGCTAATGAGTGGATATTCCTGACAAAACATCATGTGAGACAAAGGTGAATCTGTTCTCATTCGTTGAAGTTTTCTATTCTTTTTTATTTAAATAAAATGTATTTTAATTGTGACTTTTTTGAGATTTTAATGAAAGTTTATAAAGACCTGGGATTTCCATCCATTCAGAGTTGCACATTTTCCTCCCTGCCCCCTTCACCTCCATTACACTTTTTTGTTTTTAAAAAAAAAAAGGTCTTTTGTTGTTTTACAGTCCCCCCCACCCCGACCACTTTACCATGCAGCTCTTATTAACAGTTAGAGAAGTAAAAAAAACCAAAAAACAGAGAAGTTAGATTTTCATTCATTCAGTGTTGTACATTTTACTCCCTCCCCCTCCCGTCCTCCTCCCCAGTTCACTTTTTAAATTTTTTTAAAAATTTTCTTTATATTTTTTATTACTTGTGTGTGTGTGTGTACACCATCAAATCAGATCTGACAGGAGGACATTGTCCCTCCTTCTCCAGCAAATCATCTGGTGGATTTGAATCACGCACCTCTGGGGTTGCAGTGCAGCTTCTTGCCTCTAGGCCGCTTATTTTTTTTAAATGTATTCATTCATTGTATGCAATTACCACTCCCCGTAATGGTTATGTGAAACCACTCTTACTGACGCAAACAAAGCTTATTTTACTTCTGTGCTGTCCAGACAAGCACCAACCATAACTTTTAACCAAAAGAAGAAACAGTAAGCACAGTTAAGCTCCTAAGAGGACTATCACTGAAACCCAAGGATGCCTCACCTCGGGTGTTGACTCATCCATGTGTAATATGGAAGCACTGGCGGCTGCGGGATCAGGGGTTGAGCTGCTAAATCAAAGGCTGTGAATCCCTCAGCTACTCCCTGGGAGGAAGAGGAACAATTTCCCCTCAAGCAATTTAGAGCATCTGAAACCCACTGGAGGATCAGTGGTGTCTTGGTTCCAACCTGGTGGGATGTAACAACTACCAGCACCGGGTAGCTAGTGAAGACCACTCCGGAGGCTGCTGGTGAATGCAGCCTTGTCACTGATGCCTTTATCTCCACTGTGACATCTGTTCTCTGTTTCCTCCTTTGTATATTTTTTTGAGGATTGGTTTGGTGACTCAAACACCAATGGCTGACCTTGCTGTTGAGAAGTATTTAGAGGGATACACAGTGGGGAAAGAGCGATCTTGCCGCCTTCGCTCCTGCAGCTTTCACACCTGAAAAGGAGAAGGCTGACGGCTCTTGTGTGTGGTTGATTAAATGCTGTGCTGATGGCCCTGTCGTAGGTCTTCAGCCGGTCACCTGCTCTACGAGCACTCTCTTCTGGTGAGATTGGAGCTGTCATTCAAGAGTCATTTTCAGAATCTTCAACAATGCCCATTTATTATTTGGAAGACAAGGTGGCGGACTAATTTTTCTGTGTGGCCAGAGAGTTGACTGTGATGCATTATCAGGACCGTGTGTATGGAGCCTGGCTCCTCTTATCCGAGCCCCAGTAGTGCTGTGGAATGATCGGTACCATTTGTGCATTGGCTTGTTAATCAGAAGGTTGGCAGTTGGAGACCAGGGGCTGCTCTGGGGGAGAAAGTTGAGGCAGTTAGATGCTCATTCCAAGATGGGCAACCTCAGAAGCCCTGAGAAGTGGTTCTGTTCTCTCCTGCTGGGTTGAATACCATGAACTGAATCAAATCAGCAGCAGTGGAATGTGTCTTGGTTTTCCCTCTAAACACAAGACACCATCAGTAATTACTGTGGACATGGACCTCCTACCCTGTCCTTCCTTCCTTCTACAATTCTCTTTACTAAGAAAGGACCCATCTCCACAGCCTTTTGTTTTCCTCCTTCCTCCTGGATTCTCTCCAGCTGCTTTTTACAGTTTACTGCCTGCTTCTCAGAGGAGAGGACGGCTGGCATGTTTTAATCATTCCTAGGATTTAGTCAGCTTTTAATTACAAGCAAATCGATGTTTTGGAATATGACCAAGTTATGTGGGACTCTGGGCGCTGGCGCTGGGCTGTGCCTCCGGCATTTGTAGAATCCCGTCCCGGGGCTGGAGGTGTGTGTTCCTTGACCTGACAGCTGGCCGGATATGTGTATGCAAAGGGGGTGTGTTTGAGGGCATTATAATCCCACTGCATGCCCATTGGTGACCTTCTAAACTCAGCTTCCTCCCACATGCAAAGAGGACAGGTCACCTTTGAGAACACAAAGCTATCAGGGTGCTGGGTGGGCTGGGGTTTCTTCAGTTTCTTGCACTGGTTTTGCTGGTTTTAATCCTCAGGTCGCTGGGCCAGTCAGCTTCAACTTCTGATATTTGCGGCTGTGCCAGGTTCTCTGTCTTGTTGCCCTGTTACATTCTTGTGACCGAGCAGTCCTGGTACAAGATCATCCAGACTTAGAGGACAGTTGATAAGCAGATGATGATTTTCAAAGAGAGATGGCATCCTGAGTTGAGAGGTTTCTCTTTTTTTTTTTTGCCCCTCAAAAGCCTGTTTGCAACTGGTCTGTTTCTAACATAAGCAAGAGGAAATCAATGAGAACAGAGAACAAGAGTGGGGAGTGTGTGTCCACTGGCTGAAATTCTAGCTGTTGTTTACATGACCAGGTAGCTCTAATCCGAAGGGAATGGAGCCTTTCCACCAGCTTCTTGGCCCTCGTGGCAAATCTGCTCATTTGACCGGTTCCCCGGTGAGGATCAGTGGACACACCGTCTTGTGTGTGCTGTGACCCACGAAGCTGACCTTTAGCTGTTGCGAGAAGTCTTGGTGTTTGGACATGGACACGGCCAGGCCCTGACCGCTCTCTGCCCATCTCTCCACAGGTGGCACATGCCAGAGTCCTGCGCTCCCTGCCCTGGTCCGGCCGCCCGCCCCACCTCTGCAGCCATCGCTGGATATTAAACCTTTTCTTCCTTTTCCTCTTGACACGGCCGCTGCAGTCAACCTCTTCCCCAATTTTAATGCGGTAAGTGCTAACCTCACGCCTGCCAACGGGCTGGGAAGTCTTCCCTGCTGCTGGAGGGGGGATTCCATTCCTGTCCCCCAATGCTGCTCGGTACAATCATTGTCCGAATAGGCCGCCTGGCGTCCTGGGTGTGTGAGGGCCCCAGAACCGAGCTCCTGCTCCGGGGGAGAGGGAAGGTGACGTAAGCTGGTTGCATGGTCATTGGCTTCTTGTCTCTCATGTATTGTTTCTTGAAAACACCAAATTTCTAGTTTGTGAGAACACTTCTAAATTACTTCAGTTGTGGCGTTAGGAGAGGTCAGTCCTTGGGAAAAGACCTCATGATGCTGGGAAAGTTGGAAGGCCAACAAAAGAGAGGAAGGCTGGCAACACGGTGGGTTGGCCCAGTGCCTAACAATGACTTTGAATGTATCAGAGGTGATGAACGTGGCACAGGATAGCGCAGTGAGCGTTCAGATCTCTTGTTCATATGGTCACTACGAGTTGTAGTCAACTTGACAGTACCTAACAATGGCAACAACAATCTGCCCGTGAAAATGTAATGAACTTGGTGGGCGGAATATTGGAATGCAAGGAGGTATTTGAAAATGTAAACGTGTAGTTTCCTTTGTTGGCTATGGACTTTAATTTACAAATCTATTTCTTCTCATTTAATAGAGAGGACCTTGATGGTCATAATTGTTGTATGTTCTGTGTGTTCATGTATAGAGTACTCTCTTTCTCCTCTTCAACACCAAATACATTAGGGCTCCAATAGCAAGAAAATAGGGTCCTATTTTCTTGAATGTGTCTGTATAGGTTGGCAAATGTATTGTATACATTGGCTTAGGGATCTATGCTGCTGTAACAGAAATACCACAGGGGGCTGATCTTACCAGACATGGTTTTTCCCCCAGCTTGTCGGCCTCAGGCGTTGTCTCCAAGGCCCTCTGTTTTCTCAGCATTGAAAGATCCCATTCTCCTTATCCATTTGAGTAGTTCACTGTATCCTTCACCCTGGTACGCCTTGTCCTTTTCTATAGGGAGTGGCTGTGCTAATCCCCACATCAGACCCTTCTGTGTTGGTTCAAATACATCAGTAATTCTGCTTGAGAAAGATCAACAGTCTCCTCCCATGTGATTTACAACATCTTAAAAAAAACTCAGCAGAATGTCAGCTCTGACTTGGTTCCAACTCACTGGCGAAGAGTTTTGGTTTTTGAATTGTTGTTGGTGCTGTTTTGAAAGAACGTGGAAGCCTTGTCCCATCAGCTTTATGTTAAAGCTCCACCCTCGGGTGCATGGTAATGGCAGCCCTACTTTCTAGAACTGACTGATGAAAGATTTGAAGCTTTACAGCGTAGGAGGGTGGGCCCCGCCCTTTGAAGTCAAGAAGTCTCAGCATCCTGTGTTTCACCAGCAGGTGTGCCACCCACTGGGCTTCTCTGGGATGGTCCTTTCTGCTCCTTGGAAGAGAAGGCATATGGCTACATGGGGCTGTCCCTGCCTATGGCTTTCTAGAAGGTGGATGACATACATCTTTCCATTTTTAGTTCCGTCTGCTTCAGTCTAAGATGTTGAGATTTTTGCTATGGTGTTTCATTAGCCTCATAAGTCACAGGTTTACTGTATTTAACTAAATTAGTGTAGATAACAGCAACGGGGACATGCTTTAGGACACATGTCCTCAGTTTTTACAACAGAGAGTTCCAATTCTTAGGTTCTGTTTTTATTTTGCACAGTTCACTAGGAAATCCATCTGTCTCCTCTCATATTTTAATAGAAGCTACAAGGATAAACCCACATGGCCCTTTTAAAATTTTGCTTAGAAATCATCACAACCAGGTATCCAAGTTCATCACTTACAAATTCTGCCTTCCAGCAAACATCTGAACATGATTAAAGCTTGGGCTTTTTTGCCTTTTCCATGAAAACTCTTCCATCTTCTAGTCACATGCTCACTGTTTTCTTTTAAAGACTCATCAGAAGCACATTTAACATCCACATTCATAGAATCTTCATGTCACTGATCCTGGGTTCTGAGACTATGGAGAAAGGAGTCCTGGGGACATAGGTCCACCGGGAGGTGAACTTCTAACCCAGAAGTCATGCCTCTCTGCCGGTTCAAGTCCACCAGGGGCTCTGAGGGAGAAAGATGGGCAGGGGCAGTCTCCTCTGATGCTATTTAAAGCTCAGAAGACTAGCTAGAGAGTCAGCTTTGGGTCCATTTCAACTCAAGGACAATGAGTGTATGAATATTGTAGAGGCTCTCTCTGTGGTTCTCTTTGACATAATGACAATAATGGTTTAAAAGTTTAAAAACAAGTAAGTTACATTTAAAAACGAGTAAGGGAATGGAGCCCTGGTGGCCTCGTCCATAGGGGGATTGTGCTGCTAACCCAAGGGCCACCTTTCTCTGGTGGTTCGAACCTACCAGCAGCTCCTTTGTAGAAATGTGAAATCTCCTCCTGTGTGATTCATAGCCTCTGAAACCTGATGGAGGGGCAGCTCTGAGTCGGTTCCCACTCCGCAACATTGAGAAAAAGAGAAAGCTAAAATAGGAACAGCAGTAGCTACCTAACTTTAGAGAGCACCTCTGGCCTAGTGTCAGGAAGCTGCACTGCAGCCTCAAAGGCACGCAGTTCGAGTTCACCAGATGCTGTGCAGTGGACTATTTCCTGTGCAATTAACTGCCTCTGAAAGTAGGATTGGGTATTATTTTCATGACACCATCACAGATAAAGAAATGCATAATAAAGTGGACTGTGGACTTTGTATGACAAAGAATTTTCTTTTTTAAATTATTTTTTTCTTTTCAAAGAGAAAAACTAACTGAGGGGATGGTGGTCAGGGAGGAAAATGTGCAACAATGAATGGGGAAATAATTAAATGGAAAGAATATGCTGTGAAAATATATATGTTGCATTAAAAACTCATCAATAAGAAAATATTGCTTTAAAAAAATCTGCCAGGATCAACTAAGGATTGGTGCGGACTCAGCTATACACCACCACAACAAGAAATTACTTTGCATTATGTAACATCATTCTAATTTTGCATCTAGTGTTTTTTATAAAGTCTGAGCTTCTTAACAATGACAAGACCTGTCAACATACAACCAAAGCAAAAGCAGATGAAAATGGGAAGCCACGACATACCTAGTGCTCAAATAACCCAACTTTCTGGTTCTAATAGTAGTCCAGGGATGGATTTTATATTTTAATGCTGGCTGGGATTATTTTTTTTTTAATTTGGCCTGAATTTTTTTTTCCTTCTTTTTTTTTTTTTTTTTACAATTCCCCCGTCCCTTCTCCCCCAGCCCCCACCCTGAGTACACTTCTCTATGCAACCTTAATTCTGGATTCCTGTGCTAACCATAATAATCATATATCACCTGGAATTATTTTTATGTAAGGGTTTTATTAATTTTAATGAAAATTTACAGAGACTTTGGATTTCTATTCTTTCAGTGTTGCCCTTTTCTCCCTGTCCACCCCTCCCCCAGTACACTCCTCTCTTTGAAAAGTAAAAAAAAAAAAATCTTTCATGGTTACACAGTCCCTCCCCTCAAGTCCACTCCACTAAGCAGCCTTCATTCTGGACTCCTGTCATGACAATAATACCTAATCATATATCCCTTTTAAACAGTTCTCTCCTTCGTCTGTTTCAATGCAATATATATAATTGATCCCATTCTTCTCAGTCTTCCCCCAACTCTGATGTCTGTGTGGGTGATTTTCTTAAATCGTAGTTTGTGCTACAGGGAGCTTGAGTTGAAACTGACTAGACGCCAACTAGGACGGCAGTGGACTGGGACAGGCGAGTGCTGCTCTGGCCGCCACTGGGTTGACCCCAACGCATGATGATTTTACTTACAATAAAAACATTGTCCTCAGTCACTCGTATGTTTGGGTCTGCTGTTGGATTTGTTAACACTAATCCGTTTAACCAAGGATCAACTTACTCATTCCTGAATGCATACCCAAACGACATAAGACAGGTGATAGATATTATGATTCATAATGTTTTGTTGGCTTATTTTTTTAATAGATTTCCAGGTTTTAATCTAGTGTGAGGGCTCGCCTGAAGCCAATCCACCATGAGTGATGTCGTGGGGTTGTGAAATACTCATGACGTAGTTTTCAACATCACAGCCCAAGTACAATGGAATAAACAAAACAAAACGTATTCAAGTTAAGATCTTGGCCTTGTAAGAAGACAAGAGAGAATTAAAATAATCTTTTTCCTCTTTGAGAGATAAGAATTTCTTTATAGGACATTTATTTTGAAATTGATAGAATATAAATGTTGATGTTAGGTGCCATTGAGTCGAGTACGACTCATTGCAATTCTATGAACAACAGATCTGCACCCTGTGTCCATCCTGTGCCATCCTCACCACCACATTCAAGGCCATTGTCGCGATCACTGTGTCAACCCACCTGATTGAGGGTCTTCCTGTCTTCTGCTGTCCCTCCGCTTTCTAAGCATGGTGTCACTTTCCAAGGAATAGCCTGTCCTAGCAATATGCTCAGAGCATGTGAGACAGAGAACATAAACGGAACAGGAGAAGGAGTCTATTAATAAAGCATAGGTTTCTGTTACTGAGCAGTTTTATAAGAATTGAGAAAAATAATTGGGCTGCATCAAATGATCCTCTTCTTCAGTGCCTACTAATGTCTGCCACATTCCTCGTCTCAGTGCCCCCTGACTGCCTTTCTGTTATAGGACTTCTTGGCAGGGCTTTGCTCCCCAGATGGTCCATCAAGGGGCCTTCTGTGGCCTTGACGATCACCTGGCCTCCTATCACTCGGGTCCCAGATGGGCTTCAGAACTCTTAAGAAAAAATTCTTGGAAGGTTGGAAAAGGCTGATTGAAACATTTTTATGTGTCCCTTGGGACACATTGAAAGTAAAAGTAATAATTTGATCAAGATGAATATTTTTCTGGCATTAAATAAACTTATGTGATACACTGAGCTCTATAACATGGAACAAATGTACAACTTCCTTATTCCTCTT